TTTGTGTCGTTTCTGTAGAAGAGGCAATAGTTGGAAGCGGAGTTGCAGTTGTAGGAGAGTTTGTCGTAACCACAGTTGTAGATTCAGTTGTTTGTGCCGTTTCTGTAGAAGAGGCAGTAGTTGGAAGTGGAAGTTTAGTTGTAGGTGAGTTTGTTGATTCAGTTATTTGTGCTGTTTCTGTAGAAGAGGCAGTAGTTGGAAGTGGAAGTTTAGTTGTAGGTGAGTTTGTTGATTCAGTTATTTGTGCTGTTTCTGTAGAAGAGGCAGTAGTTGGAAGTGGAAGTTTAGTTGTAGGTGAGTTTGTTGATTCAGTTATTTGTGCTGTTTCTGTAGAAGAGGCAGTAGTTGGAAGTGGAAGTTTAGTTGTAGGTGAGTTTGTTGATTCAGTTATTTGTGCTGTTTCTGTAGAAGAGGCAGTAGTTGGAAGTGGAGTTGCAGTTGTAGGTGAGTTTGTCGTAACCCCAGTTGTAGGTTCAGTTGTTTGTGCCGTTTCTGTAGAAGAGGAAGTAGTTGGAAGTGGAGTTGCAGTTGCAGTTGTAGGTGAGTTTGTCGTAACCCCAGTTGTAGGTTCAGTTGTTTGTGTCCTTTCAGTAGAAGAGGCAGTAGTTGGAAGGGGAGTTGCAGTCGTAGGTGAGTTTGTCGTAACCCCAGTTGTAGGTTCAGTTGTTTGTGTCCTTTCAGTAGAAGAGGCAGTAGTTGGAAGGGGAGTTGCAGTCGTAGGTGAGTTTGTCGTAACCCCAGTTGTAGGTTCAGTTGTTTGTGTCCTTTCAGTAGAAGAGGCAGTAGTTGGAAGTGGAGTTGCAGTTGTAGGTGAGCTTGTCGAAACCACGGTTGTAGCTTCAGTTTTTTGTGTCGTTTCTGTAGAAGAGGCAGTAGTTGTAAGTGGAGGTTCAGTTGTAGGTGAGTTTGTTGTAACCACGGTTGTAGGTTCAGTTGTTTGTGCCGTTTCTGTAGAAGAGGCAGTATTTGTAAGTGGAGTTGCGGTTGTAGGTGCAGTTGTTTTAACCACAGTTGTAGGTTCAGTTGTTTGTGCCGTTTCTGTAGAAGAGGCAGTAGTTGGAAGTGGAGTTGCAGTTGTAGGTGAGGCTGTTGTAACCACAGTTGTAGGTTCAGTTGTTTGTGACGTTTCTGTAGAAGAGGCAGTAGTTGGAAGTGGAATTGCAGTTGTAGGTGAGTTTGTCGTAACCACAGTTGTAGGTTCAGTTGTTTGTGCCGTTTCTGAAGAAGAGGCAGTAGTTGGAAATGGAGTTTCAGTTGTAGGTGAGGCTGTTGTAACCACAGTTGTAGGTTCAGTTATTCGTGTCGTTTCTGTAGAAGAGGCAGTAGCTGGAAATGGAGGTTCAGTTGTAGGTGAGTTTGTTGATTCAGTTGTTTGTGTCGTTTCTGTAGAAGAGGCAGTAGTTGGAAGTGGAGGTTCAGTTGTAGGTGAGTTTGTTGATTCAGTTGTTTGTGCCGTTTCTGTAGAAGAAGCAGTAGTTGGAAGTGGAGTTGCAGTTGTAGGAGAGTTTGTCATAACCACAGTTGTACGTTCAGTTGTTTGTCCCATTTCTGTAGAAGAGGCAGTAGTTGTAAGTGGAGTTGCAGTTGTAGGTGAGTTTGTCGTAACCACAGTTGTAGGTTCAGTTGTTTGTGCCGTTTCTGTAGAAGAGGCAGTAGTTGGAAGTGGAGTTGCAGTTGTAGGTGAGTTTGTCGTAACCACAGTTGTAGGTTCAGTTGTTTGTGCCGTTTCTGTAGAAGAGGCAGTAGTTGGAAGTGGAGTTGCAGTTGTAGGTGAGTTTGTCGTAACCACAGTTGTAGGTTCAGTTGTTTGTGCCGTTTCTGTAGAAGAGGCAGTAGTTGGAAGTGGAGGTTCAGTTGTAGATTCAACTGGAGTTGTTGATGCTGGTGTTGTTGTCTCTGGTGCTGTTTGAATAGTGGTGCTACATAATACTGTTGTTAAAAAATGAAAAGTAACATTCATTTTAGAGCAATTGTCACATGTAAATAAGTAATAAGAGATATAAAGAATTTGGATGATCAGTAACTTACAGACCTAAACTTAACACTGCAATTATCAGTGCTTTTTTACTCATCTTGGTAGTTGTCAAATAGATCACCTATAAACATATAATGCAAAACATTAGCAAATATGTAAGTAATGTCATAATTTTTGGCATGTCAAGGTCAAGGTAGTATTTGTTTTAGATAAAAGACCTGCTGCAACATCAACACACAATAAACATATAACATACAACATTAAAGGGGTCATATGACGTTGTTAAAAATAACACAGCTATCCAGTGCGTTTTGATTGGCCGAATACCTCAAGCGTGTGTCGGAACTGTTACGCCCCTCACCATACTGTGATGCCGTGTCCCGGCCGGAGCGATGTGACAAAAACATTAAAACCCATTATAGTGCTGCACACATCTGGATATTTGGGTTGAAGTGTTCTGGAACAGTGTAGTAAATACAACTTAACAACTGATTTCTAGTCATGTCCTATTTTGGAAGACCAAACAAAGTAGTTTCGCTTTCACAACGAAACACACTGCGGGCTAGAGTGAGCTTGAGAACGGCGCGGCCGGCGGACTTGCGGCAACCACATGTGACGATCCCGGGCTTCGTCCACGGTGAAAGCCGATCCGGCGATCCACAGCGCGAAGTTGATGTATTTCCTCAGCGACCAGCACGGATAAGCACTAGGCATGACGAATCGATATCGTCCTCTTTTGGAAGGCCAAACAAAGTAGTTTCACTTTCACAACGAAACACACAGTGTCTCCACGGCATGGCGGCAGCGGCAACAATACTACAGCGAGAATAAAAGTTATGCCTTCTTTCTTTGCGTGAACATTTGGGTGGCGTTATGCAGATCTTCCCACATCGTGACGTAGACATGTGGGGGCGTGTTAGAACGAGCCGTTTTAGGTAGGCGTGGCTGACTCTTAACTTTTATAAAGAATATCTCTTTGGATTTGAGACTTTAGTCTTTGCAACTTTACAGATCTTCTTTATGCACCGAGAGCTTGTAACACTCCAAAGAGAAAGGAAAAATTGAAATCGCATCATATGACCCCTTTAAGAACCAATCTAATCCTACATCATAAAAACAATACCAGTGTCAGTGACAGTCTGGGGAAAAAAACTAACTAATAATAAAACACCCTCTTTCCAGATGACTTCTTTTCATAAAAGATTGTTTTCCGTAAAGTAATGATGATTTGTCATTTTTGCTCAGTTCACTTAAATTAAGATGATAGTAGTTATGAATAACAAAAAATGAGGGAAGAATTACACTACCATTCAAAAGTTTAAGGTCAGTAAGATTTTTTTTATATATTTTTAAATGCATCTTATGCTCATCAAGACTGCATTTATTTAGAAACACTATAAAACAATACTACAGTGAAATATTAGAACAATTTAAAACAGCTGTTTTCTATGTGAATATCTGTTAAACTGTAATGTATTTCTGTGATGCGCAGCTGTATTTCCAGCATCATTACTCCAGTCTTCGGTGTCACATGATCTTCAGAAATCATTCTAATATGCTGATTTGCTGCTCAAGACACATTTCTGATTATTATCAATGTTGAAAACAGTTGTGCTGCTTCACATTCCAGTGTAAATTGCCACTGTTCATAAATTGAATGCATCCGTACTGAATAAAAGAAAAAAAAAATCTTACTGATTCCAAACTTTTGAATGGTAGTGTAGATAAGAACTTAAATCAAAATGATGAAATAAATTAATTAGAAATGTAATTTTTTTCCGACATCAAGAGTTTATATGTGATCATAAAACTTACATTCAAAAATATTAAATATGCACACAGTTAAGTACATACATTTTAAAATGTAAAACATTAGACTTCATCATGCTTTCCTTATGTTTCATAGCTATTAATTTTTAATTTATTATTGTACTCTATTTCATTTCACTGCATCTTGACCTTTAAACAATTAACAAAAAAATTTAACTTAATCACTCATTCTTGCTGTTGAAGTGTCAGCCATTTATTAAATGTGTTTTGTGCACAAGGTCTGCTTTTGTTTAACCCTTATGTAATACATTTATTTGTATAGCGCTTTATACAATTGTTTCATAGCAGCTCTACAGAAATAAGCAGGAAAATTATGGAATGACTTAAATTTCAGCCCTTAAAGCAGTTCTACAGAAGTCAATGGTCATTATTCAGCTTTTTTCTGTGTTAAAAATAAATGAATAATGCTAAATATATATAATACTAAAATCATAAATTAAATTATAACAAATAATCTCAGAAACTATTTATATATGGTTATGAGTATAAATCAGGATGGATGGCTATAGTCATACACAAACAAGTCAAACTCACCCGATCCATTTTGTACCTCAGTACAATTTCTTACAAGTGAAGTTGTAAGTCCCTTGATAAAAGCAGGTAAACTCATGCTCTCCTCAAAGTCCATGTTTATATTAGCCCTGTTTCGAGTCACATGACACAAATCGCATAGTTGTCAGTCTAAGTGGTGGTGCATTGTTAATCCATTCCATCTTTAACCAAACTGGTTATACCTACGTATCCAACAATGCATTCCTCCCTAAGCATGCAGTCTTATGAAATGCTGACGTTGAAACCAAGAGTTAATGGAGTGTTAAGCAAGTGTTAACTCATATTGTAGACTGCTATAACAGTGTAACAGTGTATTGATTGTTGATCATTCATTGCATGTTAATTGCAAACATAATGTAATACCTTTTAGAACAATGTCTTGCCAAACTTGTATGTGTTTTATTTCTTGTGTTGAACACATTGGACCCCATTGGCTTTCATTGTCTGTACAAATAAACACCAAATGCACAATGTGAGAGTTTGAAATGACATGAGGGTGAGTAAATGATGACAGAATTTTTATAGTTTGGTAAACTATGCCTTTCATTATGGCACAATGAACTGGTTGCGAAGACGAAACAAAGAGGAAAAAGGGAGGAAAAAACAAATCCAAGATGACGGAAAATCAAGTTGCTGCTTTAACTGAGTTGTGTTTACTGAGAGTTCATCTGGTCATGAAGTTTTGTTGTCGAGATGAGGAACTGATATCACAAATCTTTCAAAGTTGTTGTGCAGGTTTTCGTGATAAAGTGTTGCATATTATCAAGCCATCCCATCCGTTTGAGTTTTTCCCAGATGATGGGTTGTAATTTTTCCAAGTTGTTCTATAGGTATCATGTTAACTCATCTTTGAGATCAGAGTGACCTTTAATTTGGCCCACCATGCGAAATGATACGAGAAAAGGGGGAAAATGGTATTGTTGCGATAATTACTATATTGACTTATCGTACAAAATATGGACATGACCGCGATAAGTTTTGGTGATGCAATATTGCCCATTGTGTTCACATGCATGTGTGTTTACATAAAAAAATGAAGTTTGATTTTTGGCCTTTCATAGGAAACAGTTTGTGCTCCTCTGTTTTAGATCATCAAATCCAACAGTCTTCAAGCTTACATAATCTGTGAGGTGTTTGCATATCCGTCTATCTATCTGCTAAAGCAATACGGTCAATCCGAATGTGCTTTTTTCAATCTAAAAAGATTTAATCTGACATATTGTACATATATCAATATGATCATATATCAAGATTTTATAGCAGCTTACACATGAGGAAAATCACAAGCAATTTGTCGTTGGAACATACAATATTCCTAGAACACAATTTTAAAATGAAAATACAAGATTAGTATGTAAGCGACAAAAGAGGTGAAATATTATAATGAGCAAAAGGTTTTGCATGTTATTGTTTATATGCATAGATGATTTTCATTTATAGACATTGCATAATTTAAACCTGTGGCACTACAACAAATAGAATAACCATACACTATTTCTATGTACAACCTTTAATATATTTGATACATCGTTGAAATGAAAGTTAGTCTTAATTAAACCAACATTAAACCTGTTCTTCCATCTCATTTTGGTTTCAGTCTTTGTTTGTTTGTTTGTGGGTGTGTGGCACTTAGTCATATGATCTGCTTGACGTTCAGTAACCACAAAAACATTTCAGCTTCTACATTCCTTATATTCCAGATCTGTCTCCATTAAGATGCGTTTAGCTGGAAGTTTCTGTTTTTGGCTCTTCCACATCTGTCGAGGAGCCAAATATATGCTCTCTGACTCACACACTTTGCTTTTAAATCAGTTTATATGACCGTTTCATGGTCTTGAAACTGTTTTCATCACTGTGACTTGATTAACCAATGGGTAATTAAAGGTGATTGTTTTAAACACAGGTACTTTGGGAGTGTTGAAGACAAAAACAGTGGTGCTTTTCACTGAGTTCGCAGAGTTATCTGCATTTCCGTCTATGCTGGTTTTGCTTGACAATGGTGGCTTTGTTAGACCTGCTGGTGTTGAAGATATGTTGTTTGACCAGGTGTCTGAGATTGTAGTACCTTCTGAATCAGACCTGTTTAGCCCCGTTTGAGTTAATATCCCCAAAGTTGAGTCTCTGTGTTCATGAGCTAATGGAGTGGTGACGGGTTTTGAGTCATTGCTTGTGGCTGTGATAGGAGATGGTGGTGGAGAAATTGGGTTTAAGGAGGTCTGAGTGTTCGTTTTTTGGTTTTCCTGAGTGGTTGGAAACATTGAGGGCGTGTTCATAGATGTGGATTTTGAATCAGATGTCACTGCTTGTCTTGAAACTGTTCCCTGTAAAGCAAAGAGAAAAGGAGAATGGTTGAATAAGAGACCCACACTGTGCGCTTTTACAGAAGAAGGCTTTGAACAGTTAATACCACTTAACTGGTTAACTATAGTAATGGTATATGGTTTAACATCACATTATATGTAATTTTACTGTGAAATACTATTAATTTAATGGTTTTTGCTATTAAAAATGAATTACCTAAAATCATTAATAGGACAGAAGTCCCTGTGTGATGCATCACATATGAGAATATTTTATTTAAATAGTTTTGTATTTTCTGTTATTTAGTTAATGTTTATTGTTATTTTAGTGTAGTGTATGTGACCCTGTGCACTGTATATATATTGGGTATGTTTTATAGAAAGGCCATATAACTTTCTATTTGACAACCTGTGTTATTTTAATTATCAGTATATTTTAAGCTAAAATGCTACTCTTTGTAGTTCAGGTAGCTCAAGACGGTTTTGTTCTTAATAGAACAAATAGAAAAGAGATTTAAATATTGGTCAATATTTTTCTGCTAATAAATTTAAATATAGGTCAGTTTTGTTTAAGAGATTTAAATAGTTGTCTATATTGTTCTATTAAGAGGTTAAAACATTGCTCAAAATTGTTCTATTAAGGTTCAAGTTTCAAGTTTAGTTGCACCATTAAAACAGAGACAGCTGACCAAAGTGCTTTACAACATCAACTAAAAGAAGCAAAAGAGTGATGCATTTTGGACCAATTGAAGACGGGCCAAAGAAGTGGTATTCATTCCACAATACAATGACTTACAGTAATCTAAACATTATGAAATAAAAACATGAATCACTCTTTCAAAGTCTTGAAAGGAAAGAAAAGGCTTGATTTTAGAAAGAAGATGGAGATTAAAGAAGCAAGATCTAACCACTGAATTTACTTGTTTATCAAATTTCAACTCGCTGTCAATCAAGACAGAAATTTATTAAGAGATTTCAATATTGGTCAATATTGTTCTCTGAAGTGATTTAAATGTTGGTCGGTTTTGTTCTATGAAGAGATTTAAATATTGTTCGATACTGTTCTATTAAGATAATTAATTATCGTCAGTTTTGTTATATTAAGTGATTCAAAATTCAGCTGTTTTTGTTGTCAGCAAGCGTAAGCAATTCTCAAAAAGTATTAATGACAATATGGCTGTTTGTCGCAAGGTGTATTCTGAAGAAGTCTGAAAACTCTGATGCTCAGTCAAATGCATGATGATTCAAAAGTACAGTATGACTTGTGGTTTGCTTGTGCAGTTTGTGCATGTTGTGAAGAGAACAGTGCCTGAGTTTGCAGATGGTTGGGAACCAGCGTTGCTGTTGTTGTAGATGTTCCATGTAGAGTTGATGCTCTGAAAGCAGTTACAGTTCTTTGTGAGCGCTCTGGGTTGATGAGTTCTGGTGTAGCTGTAACTTCCACAGGTATGTCAGGGCTTGAGGTCTCAAACAGTGTTGTTGAGTCTAAAGACATAACCAAACTAGGATTTAGTGTTGTATCAGTTGTTGTGGACTGAGATGATTGCGATTCTGTCACAGGTGTTGGAGTTTCTTGACTGTCAGTCAGCAGATTTTCTGACTGAGATGACACATTGTGATTTATCAAAGTGCTTTTGAAGTCTGTCAATGTAAATTCAGTCCCTGTTGTGTTACCAGAAAAGAGCAAAAGCATTTCAGTTCCAGGTTTAGAGTTACTTTCTGTGGCTGATGCAGTGCCGTTGATGATTGAAATTGCATTTGTAGTAGATTCTGCGTGTCTTTTGATAGTTGATGCCATTTCAGTATCAATTGTGTCATCTGGTGGGTCAGTTATTAATGATTCTGGCATCAGCTCTGTGACACTTCGGGAAGTTTGCTTTGTATTTGTAGCTGAAATTGATGTTGTAAATGAAAGCTCTGCAGTGTATGCACTGTCTGGAATGATTGGTAGTGTGGCAGCAGCAATTGTTTGAAACATTTGTGTTTGCAGGTGGTTGATAGATTTAGTATGTAATTCATTTGCAGATTGGTAGATTGATGGTGAGTCAGACTCGGTTCTACTTGTGTTTGTGATGTGATTTGGTTTTGAGGTTGTTGTGAAGATGGATGAACTTGAGTCTGTATTTATTGTAGTCGCAATCGTTGTAGTTGTCAATTCAGAAAATGCCGTCTTCTTCGTGACACATATGTTGGTTGAAGTTTCGGTTGTTGGCTCAGGGTTTTGGGTACCAGTTAATGTTCCAGCAGTCCAAGAAATGGATATATTGCTGTGTGATGTTTGCTCTACGTAATTCTGTGTATTGGAATCAGTGGTGGTAATGGAATCATTGTTTGCATGAATTGAAGTCATTGCTGGTGTCTCAGATGTTGTTGATGTGTCCGTGCTAGATGTTTTAGCACTTCCTGTTGAAATTATCCCATGTGCAGTGGCATTGGTTAATGGCTCCATTGTTTGAGTGGCAGTGCTTTGGTGGTTTGATGTTGAGTCAGAAGTGTCGCTGAGAGAAGTGTTCTTCAGTGGTGTAGTTGCTTGAATGGCGGGGTAAGACTTGGTTGTACTTGTAGTTGTGAGGGGATTTGGTTCTGAGGTTGTTGTGAAGATGGATGAACTTGAGTCTCGAGTTGTTGTAGAGGAAATTGTTGTAGTTGTCGATTGATTTGATGTGATGAACACTTGAGTATTGTCTGATGACTGAAGCTGTTGTGTTGTTGTCGCAGTGGAGTATGATGTTCCAGAAGACACATCAGAGGACGGAAATGAAGATCCTGTATTTGTCGTAGTCGCAATCGTTGTTGTTGTCGATTCAGAAAATGCCATCTGCTTCGTGTCAGTACTGTTGGTTGAAGATTTGGATGTTGGTTCAGGTTTTTGGGTACCAGTTAATGTTCCAGCAGTCCAAGAAATGGATATATTGCTGTGTGATGTTTGCTCTACGTAATTCTGTGTATTGGAATCAGTGGTGGTAATGGAATCATTGTTTGCATGAATTGAAGTCATTGCTGGTGTCTCAGATGTTGTTGATGTGTCCGTGCTAGTTGTTTTAGCGCTTCCTGTTGAACTGATCCCATGTGCAGTGGCATTGGTTAAGGGCTCCATTGTTTGAGTGGCAGTGCTTTGGTGGTTTGATGTTGAGTCAGACGTGTCACTAAGAGTCATTGTCGATTCATTTGATGTGATAGAGACTTTAGTATGGTCTGATGACTCAAGCTGTTGTGTTGTTGTTGCAGTGGAGTATGATGTTCCAGTAGACACATCAGAGGATGGAAATGAAGATCCTGTATTTTTTGTAGTCGCAATCATTGTTGTTTTCGATTCAGGAAATGCCATCTGCTTCGTGTCACTACTTTTGGTTGAAGATTCTGTTGTTGGTTCAGGTTTTTGGGTACCAGTTAATGTTCCAGCAGTCCAAGAAATTGATATATTGCTGTCTGAGGTTTGCTCTACATCATTCTGTGTATTGGAATCAGTGGTGGTAATGGAATCATTGTTTGCATGAATTGAAGTCAGTGTTGGTGTCTCAGATGTTGTTGATGTGTCCATGCTAGTTGTTTTAGCATTTCCTGTTGAACTGATCCAATGTGCATTGGCATTGGTTAAGGGCTCCATTTTTTGAGTTGCAGTGCTTAGGTGATTTGATGGTGAGTTAGAAGTGTTGCTGAGAGAAGTGTTCTTCAGTTGTGTTGTTGCTTGAATGGCGGAGTAAGACTCGGTTGTACTTGTGGTTGTGAGGGGATTTGGTTCTGAGATTGTTGTGAAGATGGACGAACGTGAGTCTGGAGTTGTTGTACAGGAAATTGTTGTAGTTGTCGATTGATTTGATGTGATAGACACTTGAGTATTGTCTGATGACTGAAGCTGTTGTGTTGTTGTCGCAGTGGAGTATGATGTTCCAGAAGACACATCAGAGGACGGAAATGAAGATCCTGTATTTGTCGTAGTCGCAATCGTTGTTGTTGTCGATTCAGAAAATGCCATCTGCTTCGTGTCAGTACTGTTGGTTGAAGATTTGGATGTTGGTTCAGGTTTTTGGGTACCAGTTAATGTTCCAGCAGTCCAAGAAATGGATATATTGCTGTCTGAGGTTTGCTCTACATCATTCTGTGTATTGGAATCAATGGTGGTAATGGAATCATTGTTTGCATGAATTGAAGTCATTGCTGGTGTCTCAGATGTTGTTGATGTGTCCGTGCTAGTTGTTTTAACGCTTCCTGTTGAACTGATCCCATGTGCAGTGGCATTGCTTAATGGCTCCATTCTTTGAGTGGCAGTGCTTTGGTGGTTTGATGTTGAGTCAGAAGTGTCACTAAGAGTCATTGTCGATTCATTTGATGTGATAGAGACTTGAGTATGTTCTGATGACTCAAGCTGTTGTGTTGTTGTCGCAGTGGAGTATGATGTTCCAGAAGACACATCAGAGGACGGAAATGAAGATCCTGTAGTTGTCGTAATCGCAATCGTTGTAGTTGTTGATTCAGAAAATGCCAACTGCTTCGTGACACTACTGTTGGTGGAAATTTTGGTTGTTGGCTCAGGGTTTTGGGTACCAGTTAAAGTTTCAGCAGTCCAAGAAATGGATATATTGCTGTGTGATGTTTGCTCTACGTAATTCTGTGTATTGGAATCAGTGGTGGTAATGGAATCATTGTTTGCATGAATTGAAGTCATTGCTGGTGTCTCAGATGTTGTTGATGTGTCCGTGCTAGTTGTTTTAGCGCTTTCTGTTGAACTGATCCCATGTGCAGTGGCATTGGTTAATGGCTCCATTGTTTGAGTGGCAGTGCTTTGGTGGTTTGATGTTGAGTCAGAAGTGTCGCTGAGAGAAGTGTTCTTCAGTTGTGTTGTTGCTTGAATGGCGGAGTAAGACTCGGTTGTACTTGTGGTTGTGAGGGGATTTGGTTCTGAGATTGTTGTGAAGATGGATGAACTTGAGTCTGGAGTTGTTGTAGAGGAACTTGTTGTAGTTGTCGATTGATTTGATGTGATGGACACTTGAGTATTGTCTGATGACTGAAGCTGTTGTGTTGTTGTCGCAGTGGAGTATGATGTTCCAGAAGACACATCAGAGGACGGAAATGAAGATCCTGTATTTGTCGTAGTCGCAATCGTTGTTGTTGTCGATTCAGAAAATGCCATCTGCTTCGTGTCAGTACTGTTGGTTGAAGATTTGGATGTTGGTTCAGGTTTTTGGGTACCAGTTAATGTTCCAGCAGTCCAAGAAATTGATATATTGCTGTCTGAGGTTTGCTCTAGATCATTCTGTGTATTAGAATCAATGGTGGTAATGGAATCATTGTTTGCATGAATTGAAGTCATTGCTGGTGTCTCAGATGTTGTTGATGTGTCCGTGCTAGATGTTTTAGCACTTCCTGTTGAAATTATCCCATGTGCAGTGGCATTGGTTAATGGCTCCATTGTTTGAGTGGCAGTGCTTTGGTGGTTTGATGTTGAGTCAGAAGTGTCACTAAGAGTCATTGTCGATTCATTTGATGTGATAGAGACTTGAGTATTGTCTGATGACTCAAGCTGTTGTGTTGTTGTTGCAGTGGAGTATGATGTTCCAGTAGAGACATCAGAGGATGGAAATGAAGATGCTGTATTTGTTGTAGTCGCAATCATTGCTGTTTTCGATTCAGAAAATGCCGTCTGCTTCGTGTCACTACTTTTGGTTGAAGATTCTGTTGTTGATATATTGCTGTGTGATGTTTGCTCTACGTAATTCTGTGTATTGGAATCAGTGGTGGTAATGGAATCATTGTTTGCATGAATTGAAGTCAGTGTTGGTGTCTCAGATGTTGTTGATGTGTCCATGCTAGTTGTTTTAGCATTTCCTGTTGAACTGATCCAATGTGCATTGGCATTGGTTAAGGGCTCCATTTTTTGAGTTGCAGTGCTTAGGTGATTTGATGGTGAGTTAGAAGTGTTGCTGAGAGAAGTGTTCTTCAGTTGTGTTGTTGCTTGAATGGCGGAGTAAGACTCGGTTGTACTTGTGGTTGTGAGGGGATTTTGTTCTGAGATTGTTGTGAAGATGGATGAACTTGAGTCTGGAGTTGTTGTAGAGGAACTTGTTGTAGTTGTCGATTGATTTGATGTGATGGACACTTGAGTATTGTCTGATGACTGAAGCTGTTGTGTTGTTGTCGCAGTGGAGTATGATGTTCCAGAAGACACATCAGAGGACGGAAATGAAGATCCTGTATTTGTCGTAGTCGCAATCGTTGTTGTTGTCGATTCAGAAAATGCCGTCTGCTTCGTGTCACTACTTTTGGTTGAAGATTCGGTTGTTGGTTCAGGTTTTTGGGTACCAGTTAATGTTCCAGCAGTCCAAGAAATTGATATATTGCTGTCTGAGGTTTGCTCTACATCATTCTGTGTATTGGAATCAATGGTGGTAATGGATTCATTGTTTGCATGAATTGAAGTCAGTGTAGGTGTCTCAGATGTTGTTGATGTGTCCGTGCTAGTTGTTTTAGCGCTTCCTGTTGAACTGATCCCATGTGCAGTGGCATTGGTTAAGGGCTCCATTGTTTGAGTGGCAGTGCTTTGGTGGTTTGATGTTGAGTCAGAAGTGTCACTAAGAGTCATTGTCGATTCATTTGATGTGATAGAGACTTGAGTATGTTCTGATGACTCAATCTGTTGTGTTGTTGTCGCAGTGGAGTATGATGTTCCAGAAGACACATCAGGGGACGGAAATGAAGATCCTGTAGTAGTAGCGCTTCCTGTTGAACTGATCTCATCTTCATTGTTTAAGGGCTCCATTGTTTGAATTGCAGTCCTTTGAGAAACAGTCATGGAAAGGTTTGGAGAATAACTGGCAGTAAAAGTAGAGGCAGTCTGGCAGCAGTCTGTAGGAAAGTAAGAATTCAAGATTCCTGCAAATAAAAACAGAAGATACTTGTTGAAATACTTGTGATAGACAGGTACTGTAAATATTGCAAGTGATACTGTGAGAGGTATTATAAAAAGTTATTATATGATATGGAAATTCAGTATGAAATTCATACTCGCCAAAAGTACCAGTGAAAAGCTTGGACACAATTGACTGAATTTATGTTTCGATTTGATCTAAAAGCTTCTGCTTATAATTAGTTTCGTAAATTGTGCCTACATATGAGTGTTTGGTACTTTTTTCTGTTGCTTTTATGTAAGTTGCTTTGGATAAAAGTGTCTGCTAAACGCATAATTGTAAAATTGTTGTTAATGTTTTTATTTTAATGCATGTCACATTTTGCTCATTAAATCATTCCCATACTTCCATTTGTGTTATTTCATAGTTTTCATTATTTAAAAAAAAAATGCTATAAAAGTATGTTCAAACATTGAATTTTCATGTATATAAAATCTGGCATATAGATATATTGAAATATTACAGAATTGAATGACAATCCTTTTGATGCATCAGAAACTGAACCAGTTGCAGGTCTTTAAGCGTGTCGTCCTCCTGCGTCATCAAATCTAATCTGACACAAACACATTGATCACAACTCACCCCAGAGGAGCAGGAATGCTGCATTACGCCCCATGGTATCCTGCATGCTTCCCAAATCTGAAAAGCAAATATTTCACTGTCAACAAGTGTTTTGTCATATTTTGATTCTAATCATTCCACATGTTCAGGTGCTGAAATCTCTGCCTGTGTTTGATCTTGTTTGTAAAACTAGAGTCACATTGTATTCTGAGGTTGGATTTTACTAAGAATGCACTGGCCTGCTGATAACGTTGTTCATTTGCACATGCTGATGTTTTCGCAATTGATTCACTAAAGGAGTTATGCAAATCAGATTTATCATTTGATTAATTACTGCTAGCATAATTACTTAAATATCTTTGTTTAAAAATGAATGGCAATGACTTAATTTAAATATGGTGTACGGCTTAAATCAGCTGTTTGGTGATTTCACCTCAAGGTTGACACACAGACTTGGATAGAAATGGATAAAATAACAAAATAGAGCTGTAAACTTAATGAAATTGCAATAAGGATTTGTCTGTGAATATTATTTATTTTTATTTATTCATTTATTAGACGCTTTTATCCAAAGCGACTTACAAATGAGGACAACAGAAACAATCAATTGTAGTATTAAAACAACTAAAAACAGATCCAAAACTAAAAGCTAAAACTT